TGAAAGAGGCAAACTATGGGAAAATATTAAGAAACCCTTAACCTAAATATCTACTATAAATAGGGGTGTGCTCCCCAATCTCTATACACAAAACCTCTCTCTCTCTTCTCTCTCTCCTAGAGGGGCACACTCCACTCTCTCTCCTCTATATTTTTCTCTCTAATTTTTTCTCTCCAAAACCTTAAGTACTCTCTCTCTCTCCTCTCTAGACCTAAGTTAATTTTAAGAGTTGGAAAAATTAGAGGGGGCCTAAGCTAATTTTGGGAATTTTGGTTTCGTAGAGATTTTAAGAGTGGTTACCTAGTTTGACCGAAATCAGTTTTCCCGGTTCGTGATTGAAGCTAGACCACAGATCCTGTGCCATTGGGTATGGTGACTCAGTGTGCGGTGTAAAAAGCCCGCTTGAGATAATCTCCGGCATCTTTTCTTTATTTGTTTGTTCTTTTATTTTATATTCTCAAGCACAATATTAGGTTGTATGAATGACATCAAGTAGTTGAGATTTATTTTATTGATGTGTTATTTTTTGGAATTTCTATTGTTTGTAATAAGACCATCTGTGAGTGGTCTTCTTGCTAAAATTATAACGGGTGATTATTATTAAAAAAAAAATTGTATTTCCCCAACAAAAGATCACATAGGCCTTTCTTCCACTCTATATGTTTAAAGGATCTCATGTTGAATGCAGGTGTGCCCAAGTAACACCTATGCATGCCAAGGCCCTACAAAGCTCTTGCTTGTCCTTTGTTAGGTATCGGAATATCCAATGGAATGTGATCGGTCTACATTTTTTCTAATCTCATCAATTGATTCTCTAAGACATCCCAAATCTAATAATTGCGAAAATCTATGTGCTTTGTCCTTAATGATACGCCACATTCTTGCTTAAGTCTATAACACTTTGACTATCATAATGGACTTGATTCAAACCAACTCCGTTGGAGTCGTTTAGATACCTGGAAATCAATTACAAAGAAATAGATTACACGAAATCTAGCATTTTCAGTGTTTGCATACACCTAAAAAGTAAGGAAATGAAAATAGATTACATATCATTTATCTATATATCATGAAAACTATTATGCGTAGGAAAGCTAGGAAATCAATTACTAGGTACGACGGGTAATTGTTCACATGCCTTTTACCCAAATCCCTTCGTTGCTAACTCAACATCTCGTCTATGTCCCTCTTCGAGCCTCCCTTCTATGTGCTCTCTTTATACAAGCAAGCCGTGCGAGTAACCTCTGCTAGCAAATTTGCTACCTCTCTCTCTAGAAGCAACAAACTTGGTGTAACCTCAAGCAAAACTATTGGCTTTCTCTCTATCTCTTGGAGCAATGTCCCTCACCCTATTCGAAGTCAGGATTTGTCTCTCTTACCATATCCAAGTAAGAGCAATTTTTTCTCTCTCTCTTTATTAAAAAATTAGGGTTTTACCTATTTTTTTATGACTTGTTCTTGTTATTTTAGTTTACATAAAATCAGTAATTATGAAAAGTTTAAAAAATCTTGATCATGGGGTTATCACACAATAGTTACCAATATTTATTTCATAAGGTCAATCGTTTTTCTTTTGGGGTTTTGGTTATATGCTAATTATTTTTTGTATGTGGGGATCTCTCTTTGGAATTTCTTCTGAGATTTTTGTATGATTCATTATTTGGGAATCTCTCTTTTGAGTTTTCGAGCTCTTTTTCTGAATCATTATATGGGCTCTCTCTCTCTCTCTCTCTCTCTCTCTCTCTCTTTTTCTCTCTCTCTACAATTTAGGAAATTTCTTTGGAGTTTAGGTTATATCTGATATGAACAATACTGAATTATTTTGATACTCTCTGATATGAATTTCGGTACATTCTTTTTATAATCAAGGTGAACTACATCCTGCTGAAATTATCAGAGTATGATACATGCTGAAATTAAACAAAAAATGATACATGCTACTTAAATTGATTTTTTTTTCTCTCTCTCTCACTATACTTTAATTAGAATTATCTGCTTCTCATTATGGATTTGTTATTAGGGTGTGGTTTCTATAAGGTTGCAACCTTAAACAATCCAATTAAGGTGCACCTCCAAAATTTATTAAAACATATAATTTTGATGTAAAATATTTTTATGATTATTTCAAAATCTATTTTCATATCTAATTGTAAAATTTTAAACTCTAAAAATGGTTAAAATCAAGTAGATCTATAAACATATGGAAATCTTGAAAATGGGCGGTCTAGATAAGTGTTGTAAGATGCACTATTTTTAGGGATCAAAATTCTTTTTATTTTTCATAGTCATATATCTCGATGTCGAGATGATCAATTTGAGTGTTTTTCAAAATTAAAGCAACATTTCCTGATAGATTTTTGAGGTGCATCCGTAGTTCTACATTGTAAGGTTGCAACTTTATATAAACTTTTTATTTGTTGTTAAGATATATATTTGCACTCTCTCTATCTTAGGAAAGGTAATTATTAATACTTTTATTTATTTTTCTTTCTCTCTTTCTTTAGAATGATGATGATGTTATTATCAGAAAATCTTTTGGGAATGATGTGATGATGACTTTAATTTCGAATTTCAATAGAATTTTGTCATAAAAAAGAAAGAAATGATAGTTTATAGGCAAGTGCTTGTAAAATGTTGGTAATGCATTTCCCATATTTCTTCCATAGCCAAATAGTAACAATGTATTTCCCAAGTTGCATCTAAATACCACCCAAATAGTAACAATTCATTTGCAGGTAATGTATTATACAATAATGTATTACGTCAGTAATATATTTCAAAGACATTCCAAGTATCCAAACGACCACTTACAAACCACTTCATCCACAATATTTTTGCCAACAGATTTGGCTGCCATATATTATGCCTATGTTGTAGAAATAATAACACGCTTATGCAATCTAGATTGTTGTAACATGGCTCTCATTGCAAAAATGAATAAGTACATGATGTAAATTTCCTAATAATATTGTCAAATTTGCTTCGGAGTCTTCTTTGGTTTGGTGAGAAAAATGAAGCAATTCGGTGCTTCGGCTGACTCGGAGGAAGAATTCATATTTTTTTTTTCAAAATTTAATAAATTAGATATTTATAAATAAAAATATATAAAAATAAAAAAAATTAAGAAGAGTTTTTTTTTTTAAATACTATTATATAGATATTTATTTGCTTAGGCCGAAGAGACCGAAGCTTCAGCTCAATTGGCCCGAAGCGGACTCGACTCTGACCGAAGCGGCAACTCCAGGTTTCGTTTCGCTTCACTTCGCTTCGATCTAGGCCTAAAATCCGAAGGCTTCAGGCGAAATAAAACGAATTTGATAACACTGTGCTAAGTTCTTAAAAAAAATAAAATCTTAGTGCCAGTTTGGATGTACCCAAAATTGGAATATTTTTGGATTGCAATCCAAAAATATTGTGAAACCGAGTTTGAACTGTTTGGATAATCGCACAATTTTGCTAGATTTTTAGATTGAAAGAAAAAATACTGCCGCAAAAATTATCGTTTAAATCAATTCTAGTTAGAGTTGAATTTTTTTGGATGAAAGTGCAGCATTCTCTCACCCGTGCAAACCCCACACCTAGCTTTCTCGCTATTTACATGACCCAACTCTCTTGCTCTCTCCCATTGCAAACCAAAAACCCAACTCTCTCTAGCACCCTGCTACCCAACTCTCTCACTCTATCTATCTCTCTAAGAAGTTACTCTGGTGTTGCTAATGGTTTAGTGGCACCAAGCATCTGTATCGACTGGAGTTTATGATTGATTCAACTCGAAGCCACAAAAGCAAAAACCCTAGTTTTTTGGCAAATTTTTTTTTTTTTTTGCAAAGAACCCCAATGTTCATAAAAAACAACTCAAACCTCAAATTTGTAAAGACGGACAAGTTATCGCAGAAAACCATAGGGTTCATCAGAATCAATGGAAACCCAACATTTGGAACAAGGGTATGTTTAATACACTGAACCAAAATGTGCAGAGAGAGAAAAGAGACCACAAGAGGTAAGAGGGGAGGAGGGAGAGACCATTTGGTGAGTCAAGGGACTTGTGACAGAGTAACTTTGTAAGAATAGATAAAAGGCTTTGTATTTTTTTCAATTGGCATTTGAAAAACTTGCAATTTTTATAAATAACAATTTTTTTTTATTTGACATCTAAATTGGTCCTTAAAGAATTTTTTTTCTTAAAAGCCCTAGTTCATATCATGTGTCGTTTGATAAATTTCCTTTATTTTCTAACTAATTTTTCTCTTCGTACAAAACCAAGTGTTTGGAAATGATACTCTTCATCACCATAACCTAAAAATAATTTTGGGGTTTTCTTGGCAACTCTCACTCGCCTCTTATGTATTCCTATGTTTCCATGTTTCCATAACTGGCCCTTGCATTTTCTGGCAAATTCACGACCTATTGTGTTTTATTTTTATTTTTATTTGTAAATAGCTTCATTGTACGCATTTATTTGTATGAATGGGTATGATTTGTATAAGGTTGCAGCTTTAAACAATCAAACTAAGACAAGTTTCAAATTTTATCATAATAAAATTTTGGTATTAAAATTTTTTAGGATGACTTAAGAATCTACTTTCATATTTAATTATAAAACCTTACATTAAGAAAATAGTTCAAATCAAGTAGGTCTATAAATACTTGGAAAATCTTGAAAAATAGTAGTCCAATAATGCCTTGCAAGATACATTATTTTCATAACTCAAAATCTTTTTTTCTTTTCATATTCTTATATCTTAGTGCCGAGAAGATCAATTATAAAGTCTTTCAACATCGACACAACTTTTTATGATGGATTTTTGAGGTACACCTTAATTCTACATTTTTAAAGTTGTGACTTTATATTAACTTTTTGGAGGGTTTTAGATGGTTTTGACATTGATGAAAGGTCATGATCCAATGAAATATATCGGTCAACCCATAATCCGCAGGATTACATTACACAATATACACATTCGCTCTATTCCATACGATTAGTGCTCACTAGTGTCATTATCTGGCATAGAAGCTAGCACACGCGTCATGGATATTACTGCGAGTCGCACGTCCGTCTCCTGGGTATTCCACATAGCCGGAAATATCGCCGGACATGTGGCCGGAAATGGCAAGTTATTAAGTTTGAGTTCAAGTGTGAAGCCATCAGTGTGCTCTCGAAGTTTCTGTATGGGAAGAAGCAAAAGCTTCGACGAAAGAGCTTTTGAGGAAGAGAGACTCGAGCTCGACGCGCAGGCTCGCCAGAAAATGGCGGAAGAAGCCGAGTTTCTAGAGCAAATGGACGGAGAAGAGGACCCAAAGGCCTGGAAATGGTGGATTAGGAAGAGGGTTTGGGATTTGATGGAGAAGGAGAACATTGCTCAGAACCCACGACCTGTTCATCACCGAATTCCTAATTTTGTCGGGGCCGCTGAGGCTGCAAAAATGGTGGGTGCGAATTTTTCCCCTCTTTCTCTTTTTTTTTTACTGTATTTCAGTTAATTTTGTGGTTGTTTCTGCTCTTTGCGTTTTGCGCGGTTTTCCTTTCTTTTGGGTGAATTCTAATGGTGGGTTTCGTTTTTTTTTTTTTTCTCATTTTACTTGCACTATTTGGGGTTTTATGTTCCATGTTAATGCCGGGTTCTGCTTCTGTTGAAGTTGGCTGGTTTGGAAGCGTTTAAAGTGGCGAATTGTGTGAAGGTGAACCCAGATTCCCCTCAGAAACAAGTGAGATATTTCACTCTTTCAGGTTGGTTTTTTAAAGAATTTCCCATTTTCTTACTTTAGGGGAATTTTTGGAAGTATATTTTTCTGAGAGTCGAACTCCCATTGTTCAATGTAGTTCTAGGTCCTTACTTTTACAATCTGAATAATGTCTATATCCAGTCTAGTTTGTTAAGTTTTCTATTTATTTTTCTGAATTTTTCACTTACCCAGTTACACATGCCAAGTGCATAATTTAGTGTTATACTTTGATCGGAACTAGAATAAGAGAGTGGAGTTCTAGCTCCTACTTTTAGAATCTGAATAATGTCTATATCCACTCTAGTTTGTTTAGTTTTCTATTTCTTTTTCTGAATTTTTCACTTACCCAGTTACACATGCCAAGTGCATAATTTAGTGTTATACTTTGATCCGGAACTAGAATAAGAGAGTGGAGTTCTAGCTCCTACTTTTAGAATCTGAATAATGTCTATATCCACTCTAGTTTGTTTAGTTTTCTATTTCTTTTTCTGAATTTTTCACTTACCCAGTTACACATGCCAAGTGCATAATTTAGTGTTATACTTA